AATGTTAAGGCAATAAACATATTTGCGGAATGGCGCGTGCACACCTAGTGCTAACTATGCCATTATTCTAGCCTGTGCCATAAGACAAGAGCTTTGTTCACAAGGTGGTTTCTTTACATCCACAGTCACGTTCAGCCCCTTCTTCCCAACTCTTGCCCAATATGCCGGAATGTTCTGCACCGCGAAAAATTCAAAAATAATAAAGAGGGTGGCCCGGAAAACGTTTCTCCTTCACAAGATACGAGGCATCGGAAGTTGAACGTGTGTACGCAGAAGAGATTCAGCAGAAGGCAGGATTTAATTACTCGATGCAGATGCTCTATGCCTACCAAAAACAAAGTCCCGTCGACTTCTCTGGAACCTGCTCTCCCAAGGGAGTGAGAAGAAAAATTACAGCCTTAAAAGGATACATCACGAGCCCTTCTGATCTGTGCATATGGAAGTAAACTGATTGGTTATTCCTAAATGAGGATGGAGGATTTGTAAACAGATTACAGTATATGCATTACTGCATGTTTGAATTCCTGGCAATCTTGGATTCACCGGGAAGCAAGTTCAGTTCTGCCACATCTGACAAGTCACAGGTTTTCCACCTTTGCTTTGTAACTAACCAATAAAGTACAATATAATAAGTGACAAAAACACCTTGAAGCAAAAATTTCTACAGTGATGGCTTCCTGGTCTCTTTCCCTGGAAAGGGTAGTAGGAAATTACAGGTAGTCCTTGATTTACTATCACAATTGAGTCCAAAATGTCTTACTAAGCAACACAGTTATTAAGTGAATTTTGCCCCATATTAGGGCCTTTCTTGCCACAGTTGATAAGTGAATTGCTGCAGTTGTTAAGTTAGTTAACATGATTATTAAGCGAATCTGGCTTCCCCATTGACTTTGCTTGCAGAAGGTAAGAAAAATTGATCACATGACCCCAGGATACTGCAACCATTATAAATACATTCATAAATACTTAATTTTGATCACATGACCATGGGGATGCTGCAACAGTCATTAAGTGTGAAAAATGGTCACGTTGTTAGGAATAAAATTTTAGAATAAAAAGTAAAGTTAAGTGACACGTACTCTGTAAAATTTCTACACGCAGACAGAAAGATTTCTACACAAAATTTCTACACGTAGACTGCAAGATTTCCACACAATTTCTACATGTACACGTACCTTGTAAGAGTTCTGCACGTAGGCTATAGGATTTCCACACTGAGCTATAAGATTTCGTGATAAAGTACATATAAGGGAATAGATGAAGCAAAATAGTAAGGGGCATGGATAATGTATTTTGTTTAGGCGATCCTGATAAGATTGTAACCTCAGAAGGGGCCAAGGCGTCGGGATAGAATGTATATAATGTGTGTTTTCGCTGTGACTAGGTGTGGCTCAAATATTTATTTGGAGTCCACCACGCTTTGCAAACCGTTATAGCCAATAAATCTCTGTCTAATTTCAACTTGCTGTTTGGTGTTATTCAGTGGGCTAGAATTTCTACCAACAGTTTTGGCGCCCAACGTGGGGCTCGAGACCGGGATCGTTTGTCTGCACCAGATCCAGAAGGTGATGTGGAAGGCATGCCCTGTCGATTTCGACAGTCTATCTCATTTTGTTGGTAAAGGAGCAGCAACGCTTTCCTCGGCGAACCAATAGAGTTGCTATTAGACAGAGATATGAATTGAACCCGTGTGTGTGTTGCTGGCTTCCGGGAACTGGGCAACTCAGTGCACGGACCTAGGTAAGTGTTCTGGGGTGGCCAGTATACACTGCCTAGGCAGTCGGTGGGAAGACTGGGTAGGCCTGTGTGAATTTGAGACAGTGTGTCTGTGACATCCCAAATATCCACTTAGCGAAAGTGGACCTCTGATATGCGAGTGCATATCTAGGGGGATCAGGGGGAACGAATTAAGGAATTTATGTGAAGTCTCAATTAGAATACACAGGACGGTAAACCAGTATGGGCAACACAGGGAGTACTCCAGGAAAGAAGTGTTTGAGAAAAATAAGAAGGAACCCCAAGTTAAATATAGATAAAGAAAGTCCATTAGGGATTTTATTGAGTAATTGGGGAAAACCTCCGTATAATGAAATAGTTAATAAGCTAGACATAACCAAGGAAGATATGGTTAATTTGTGTTGTTTTGTCTGGTGGGAAGATGAAAAAGTAGAGTGGCCTAGATTAGGAACAAATGACTATTTTGCTTGTCAGAATTTATATGAGTATGTGTCAAGGAAAACATGTAAATCATTAGTCAATGAGTTAGACTATGCTTTAATTTGGAACTCAGGTAAATGGGTCACCTTGACTATGAGTGGCCCTAGCCCTCATAAAGTAACCTCAATATATTTACAAGAAGAAGAGAAGAATGAAATAGAGCAGTGGTAGTCAACCTGGTCCCTACCGCCCACTAGTGGGCGTTCCAGCTTTTTTGGTGGGCGGTAGGGGTTCAATCGAGCTGTTTAAATTTTTGGATCCATTGAGCCCTCCGATCGGCTCACAGAGCTTTCCAGCAGGCGCGGGGTGTTAGCCTCAGCTGTGCGACCCCCCACGGAGCTCTCGGAGGCCAGAGAGCCTTGCTGAAGTGCGCCATCATTGCGAGGCTCCCGTCAACTTTCTCGACGATCCGGATCGCAGCAGAGGCTGCGCAATGAGATAAAACTGCAAGTGCCTCATTTTCGGCTTCGGGGGGGTGGGGGGAATTAAAGGCACAACGAACAACAAGCTTCCTCTTAGAGCCCCTCATGGCTGGGAAAGCCCAGCCGAAATACAAGCGGCCGCGAATTTTGGTGCGGCCGCCATTTTGAGAGCCGCACAGAGCCCTCAGTCATAGAGATTTCAGGCATCTCTGACAAAAACCAGGCTCTCTCTTCATCCTGCTGTGACAGGCACGGATTGGGGGCAAACCAGACTCCACTGGGCATTCCCTCAATACCAAGGTAGAGGCCATAAAGGCTTTCTCTTCATTCCTGCTTGCCCAGGACTTAAATTGGACATGGAAAAACGATTTGAAGATATTTTGAAATTGAAGGTGTATGACTGGATGAAAAATCCTTTTACCATAAATATTGAAGAGGCTGATATAACTTTCCAAGAAGAACTGTTAGAAATTAGATATGATGAAGAAAGTAAACATAAATTTGAAAGTGGTGGATATGAAAACCTATGGCAAAGTAAAAAAATGCCTGCCTTATATCCAAATATATGGAAAATGATATTCAGTTTATTGATACCTTTCCCTACCACATATCTTGTGGAATCAGGCTTTAGTGCTGTTAATCATATTATGACCAAAGAAAGAAACCACCTGAATATTTCCGAAAGAGGAGACCTTCGTTTGTTCCTTACAAAAATTGAGCCAGATATCCAGTATTTAGTTTCGCAGCATCAGCCTCAGGGATCTCATTAATAATTTAATTAATTAAATGTAATTTCATCAGACTTCCTGTTTCTACAGTGGGGCAAAAAAGTATTTAGTCAGCTACAAATTGTGCAAGTTCTCCCACTTAAAAAGATGAGAGAGGCCTGTAATTGTCATCATAGGTAGACCTCAACTATGAGAGACAAAACGAGAAAACAAATCCAGACAATCACATTGTCTGATTTGGAAAGAATTTATTTGCAAATTATGGTGGAAAATAAGTATGTGGTCACCTGCAAACAAGCAAGATTTCTGGCTCTCACAGACCTGTAACTTCTTCTTTAAGAGGCTCCTCTGTCCTCCACTCATTATCTGTATTAATGGCACCTGTTTGAACTTGTTATCTGTATAAAAGACACCTGTCCACAACCTCAGTCACACTCCAAACTCCACTATGGTGAAGACCAAAGAGCTGTCAAAGGACACCAGAAACAAAATTGTAGACCTGCACCAGGCTGGGAAGACTGAATCTGCAATAGGCAAGCAGCTTGGTGTGAAGAAATCAACTGTGGGAGCAATAATTAGAAAATGGAAGACATACAAGACCACTGATAATCTCCCTCAATCTGAGGCTCCACGCAAGATCTCACCCCGTGGGGTCAACATGATCACAAGAACGGTGAGCAAAAATCCCAGAACCACACAGGGGGACCTAGTGAATGAACTGCAGAGAGCTGGGACCAACGTAACAAAGGCAACCATCAGTAACACACTACGCTGCCAGGGACTCAGATCCTGCAGTGCCAGAAGTGTCCCCCTGCTTAAGCGAGTACATGTCCGGGCCTGTCTGAAGTTTGCTAGAGAGCATTTGGATGATCCAGAAGAGGATTGGGAGAATGTCATATGGTCAGATGAAACCAAAGTAGAACTGTTTGGTAGAAACACAACTCGTCGTGTTTGGTAAGTAATTATTATTATATGCTTTAACTTGCTATAACTATGCTTTATAAATTTTATAAAGTAAAGTTATTTCCCTACTTTATAAATCACCATTACTGTGGAACCGGTGGGCGGTTAGAAAATTTTACTACTAACAGAGATACAAAAGTGGGTGGTAGGTATAAAAAGGTTGACTACCCCTGGGTTAAATCATTTACAAATCTAAACAAATCAATTCAAAGTCATTTCTATTGGTTAATGGTTAAATAGGTGTATTCCAGTTCTTCTCATATTTCATTTAAAAAAAAATAACCTTATTTCTTACTGCAAGAATGGGTATTAAATTTCACATCCAGCTCACCTTCCTCAAACTAGAATTCTAAGCAGAAAAAAAAGTTTAAAAGATCAGATCCCCCTTTTCTTTTCTGTCTTTCTCGCTCTTAAAGCAACACAGCCGGCTGGGGGTGGGGGGGGAAAGAGACAGGAAAAGAAGAAGAAATTATGCAACAATTTCACCACTAACAAAATAGTTTTCTCTTCACATGCATTTTCCATTTCACTTTTACAGTAATAACAAAAAAAATCTTCAGTTTACTGTTTCTTTCACAGTCTGGGATGGGGGAGAAACTCTCTCTCACACACACACACACAGGATCAGCATAGTCACAAATTTACTTCCATTCAAACTGCTTGTATAAACACTTTCACATACAGATATTTCATTTCATACTTTCTCCTGGCAAACAAATAACTATTATTATAATTTTAAGGAACTGTTCAAAAGCCAATGAGCTCCTTTCCTCTCCCAATTTCCTTTGCTCTTAGAGCTTGCCTATTAACTTTCTTGCAAAATGAGACATCCGGCCGTTATTTGTTTCACAACAGTGAAAACTCTCCTGTAGCCATACCTTTCAGAAACACGTCTTCTAAAACCCTCATGTAGTGTTTGGATTACTTCACGTGTTATGGCTTTATTCAACACCTGTTATCCATCAGGTAATATCCATTTTCCTTCTGTATTCTTTTCCTTTTGTTTTATTACTTGGTTTATTGTGGCAACCATCATTTTATTCTGTTGCCTAAATTTCTCTACATATACCTTTGCACATATACCTTTTGTGCTACCTTTAACAAGTCATCCATCCCTCCAATTTTTGTAATTTCTTACTTATATCTGGCCAGGATTTTACCACAAATTGTATTTTAACCAGAGGAGTATTTGCTGGGTCATCTGGATCAGTTCCAGAATACTTCCTCATTTCGTCTTTCAGTCTTTGGAGGAATGTAGCTGGAGATTCTTCTTTTTCCTGTTCTATCATTAAAGCTTTACTCATGTTCTGTGCTTTTGGGACAGCTTCTTTTATTCCTCTTATTAATAATACTCTCATATCTTCCATGTTTTGTCTATCTGCAGCATTATTATTATCACAATTTGGTCTTACTACAGGAAACTTTACATCTGCCAAAATTGCCCCCTGTGCTTGGGGATTATGTTCCCTAGTCCAGACCAAATGAGCTGCTCTTTGAATTAACTGTCTTTCTTCTGCTGTAAATAACGTGCTCTGTATCACTCCTAATTCATCCCATGTGTATATGTTTGCTCCTAACAACAGATCCAGTTGCTCTGCTACCCCTATTGGATCTTCTATCATGCTTTTCATTTCTTTCTTAAAGGCACGTAATTCAGATGCCTTTAAAGGATCATGTACAAAACTGATACGAGCCTGTCCTTGGCCATCTACTCCATTGGGTACTTCCCTTAAAGGAAAAGCCTGTAGTGGTTTATCCTTAAAGGGAAAATTCTTTATATCTTTCTTCAATTGTTCCAATTCTTTTACTAATACCTTATAGGGTCCACCTCTCACAGCTCCCTGGGCTTGTGTCACAGGAGCTGGTAGGGGTGGTGGAATAGGTATTTGTACATTTGTTGGTTGTGGTAGATTAGGATTATAAAGTGGGGGTAAATATTTCATGGATTTTTCATCATCTTCTTCTTCCTCTATTTCAGGGGTAGTCAACCTTTTTATACCTACCGCCCACTTTTGTATCTCTGTTAGTAGTAAAATTTTCTAACCGCCCACCGGTTCCACAGTAATGGTGATTTATAAAGTAGGGAAATAACTTTACTTTATAAAATTTATAAAGCAGAGTTATAGCAAGTTAAAGCATATAATAATAATTACTTACCAAACACGACGAGTTGTGTTTCTACCAAACAGTTCTACTTTGGTTTCATCTGACCATATGACATTCTCCCAATCCTCTTCTGGATCATCCAAATGCTCTCTAGCAAACTTCAGACGGGCCCGGACATGTACTGGCTTAAGCAGGGGGACACTTCTGGCACTGCAGGATCTGAGTCCCTGGCAGCGTAGTGTGTTACTGATGGTTGCCTTTGTTACGTTGGTCCCAGCTCTCTGCAGGTCATTCACTAGGTCCCCCTGTGTGGTTCTGGGATTTTTGCTCACCGTTCTTGTGATCATGTTGACCCCAAGGGGTGAGATCTTGCGTGGAGCCCCAGATCGAGGGAGATTATCAGTGGTCTTGTATGTCTTCCATTTTCTAATTATTGCTCCCACAGTTGATTTCTTCACACCAAGCTGCTTGCCTATTGCAGATTCAGTATTCCCAGCCTGGTGCAGGTCTACAATTTTGTTTCTGGTGTCCTTTGACAGCTCTTTGGTCTTCACCATAGTGGAGTTTGGAGTGTGACTGAGGTTGATAACACAAGTTCAAACAGGTGCCATTAATACAGGTAATGAGTGGAGGACAGAGGAGCCTCTTAAAGAAGAAGTTACAGGTCTGTGAGAGCCAGAAATCTTGCTTGTTTGCAGGTGACCACATACTTATTTTCCACCATAATTTGCAAATAAATTCTTTCCAAATCAGACAATGTGATTGTCTGGATTTGTTTTCTCGTTTTGTCTCTCATAGTTGAGGTCTACCTATGATGACAATTACAGGCCTCTCTCATCTTTTTAAGTGGGAGAACTTGCACAATTGGTAGCTGACTAAATACTTTTTTGCCCCACTGTAGAAACAGGAAGTCTGATGAAATTACATTTAATTAATTAAATTATTAATGAGATCCCTGAGGCTGATGCTGCGAAACTAAATACTGGATATCTGGCTCAATTTTTGTAAGGAACAAACGAAGGTCTCCTCTTTCGGAAATATTCAGGCGGTTTCTTTCTTTGGTCATAATATGATTAACAGCACTAAAGCCTGATTCCACAAGATATGAGGTAGGGAAAGGTATCAATAAACTGAATATCATTTTCCACATATTTGGATATAAGGCAGGCATTTTTTTTACTTTGCCATAGGTTTTCATATCCACCACTTTCAAATTTATGTTTACTTTCTTCATCATATCTAATTTCTAACAGTTCTTCTTGGCAAGTTATATCAGCCTCTTCAATATTTGCGGTAAAAGGATTTTTCATCCAGTCATACACCTTCAATTTCAAAATATCTTCAAATCGTTTTTCCATGTCCAATTTAAGTCCTGGGCAAGCAGGAATGAAGAGAAAGCCTTTATGGCCTCTACCCTGGTATTGAGGGAATGCCCAGTGGAGTCTGGTTTGTCCCCGATCCGTGCCTGTCACAGCAGGATGAAGAGAGAGCCTGGTTTTTGTCAGAGATGCCTGAAATCTCTATGACTGAGGGCTCTGTGCGGCTCTCAAAATGGCGGCCGCACCAAACATTAGCGGCCGCTTGTATTTCGGCTGGGCTTTCCCAGCCATGAGGGGCTCTAAGAGGAAGCTTGTTGTTCGTTGTGCCTTTAATTCCCCCCACCCCCCCGAAGCCGAAAATGAGGCACTTGCAGTTTTATCTCATTGCGCAGCCTCTGCTGCGATCCGGATCGTCGAGAAAGTTGACGGGAGCCTCGCAATGATGGCGCACTTCAGCAAGGCTCTCTGGCCTCCGAGAGCTCCGTGGGGGGTCGCACAGCTGAGGCTAACACCCCGCGCCTGCTGGAAAGCTCTGTGAGCCGATCGGAGGGCTCAATGGATCCAAAAATTTAAACAGCTCGATTGAACCCCTACCGCCCACCAAAAAAGCTGGAACGCCCACTAGTGGGCGGTAGGGACCAGGTTGACTACCACTGCTCTAAAAGATATTCCTTCAATCCAATTAGTCCAGGAAGAACAACGAGAAGCCTTTATAAAATATCACAGTTTAGAAGAAGATTAATATAAAATATAATTAATATAAATTAATATAAAATGTGAATATTTGTCCCTGGCTGTATATCTCTCCCTCTCTAGGGAGTGATATAGAAGAGCAACAGAAGCAGAAGGATGTGAAGCCTGCATTACCAATGCCACCAAAGGGGTGTATATTTCAATCTATATGTCAATTAAATAAAACACAATATTCAGTTTGTAAGGGAAGAGACAAAAAGATACAATGCTATGATCCATCGATGCCAACATATTTGAATTTTAGTATATATGTGGGTTTAGCTAAAGTAGGAGCAAGACAGAGCCCTGAAGGTGAAGGAAGATTAATATACGTCAATTCTACAAAAATATTAGAAAAGGGGACAGAAAAAGCTTTGATACAATTTGATGCATGCACAGTAATAAGTTTATCTTATCTCGCCACAAAGTATGGAGACTCTAGTTGGATCTCAGCCTATAAACAAAATCATAAATATATATGTCCCACCAATTTGAACTTTGCAAATGGAAACCTCAATCAATGGTTACCCTGTGCAGGATCTATTAAATGTTCAGGGTGGAGTTGTGTGTGTGATTACACTGGAGGAGGTTATCCAGGATGTAATGGTATTACTAAATTTAAAAGAGTATATGGTACTAATATGATGGAGCTGGAAATCACTAAAAACCATCCTGATATAGTAAGTTATGGATTTGGGATAGATGGAACAGGAACAGATCCATCAACTTATATTACTATAAAGAAAGAAAAGATATATGCAGGAGAAGAAAAAACCATTGGATGGTCAGTTTATAATACTTTAAGACAATTGGAAAAGAAAATAGGTATCAGTGAAAAAGCAAGTAACTTGTTTATGGATGTGGCCGAAGAGATAGCCAAAACCTTGACCATTAAAAATTGCTTTGTATGTGGAGGAACTAATATGGGACAACAATGGCCTTGGGAAGCATTAGAAGCAGACCCAGTGATATTCCACAACATGACTAAACAACGAAATATCACAGGGCGATCTGGAAATGACCAACAGATTATATGGACCCTAAGTACTAATTTAGTAGGGAAAAACTGTTTCAAATGAAGTGGAATAAAAAAGGTTGGAGATTTGATATGTTTAGGATACTAGAATGATAAATATGAGCAATGGACAAGTGTAGGGAATCAAAGTAAACCAGAAAAGTTTAACTTCACTAGATGGGGGACATATTTAAATAAAACAGATGACAGTACATGGATAGCCCCAAATAATATGTATTGGATTTGTGGTAACCAAGCCTATGAAAGTTTACCTAGTAATTGGGGTGGATCATGTATTTTAGGATGGATCAAACCATCTTTCTTTTTATTACCCCTAAGAACTAAACAGACTTTGGGGATTCCTGTTTATGATCATTTAAATCGCTATAAAAGATCTATTGACTCAGATATACCATGTAATGTTGAAACAATGAGAGGAAATGAATGGACACCAGAGAAGATTGTATGTGTTTATGGGCCTGCTACATGGGCTGAAGATGGATCATGGGGATATAGAACCCCCATTTATATGTTAAACAGAATAATAAGATTGCAAGCTGTATTAGAACTAGCTGGAAGAAAAATAGATACTGCTTTAAATATTTTAGCAAAAACTACTGATAAGCTTAGAGTGGCTGTGTATCAAAATAGATTAGCATTAGATTATATATTAGCTAAAGAAAGAGGTGTGTGTGGAAAGTTCAACTTAACAAATTGTTGCCTACAAATAGATGAAACAGGTGCAGTGGTGAAGCAATTAACCACTGAAATGAGACAACTTGTACATGTTCCAG